TGCTCCATCATCACCTCCTGTCCCTGCTCCATCACCTCCTGTCCCTGCTCCATCACCTCCTGTCCCTGCTCCATCACCTCCTGTCCCTGCTCCATCACCTCCTGTCCCTGCTCCATCACCTCCTGTCCCTGCTCCATCACCTCCTGTCCCTGCTCCATCACCTCCTGTCCCTGCTCCATCACCTCCTGTCCCTGCTCCATCACCTCCTGTCCCTGCTCCATCACCACCCCCTATCCCTGCTCCATCACCACCCCTTGTCCCTGCTCCATCACCTCCTGTCCCTGCTCCATCACCTCCTGTCCCTGCTCCATCATCACCTCCTGTCCCTGCTCCATCACCTCCTGTCCCTGCTCCATCATCACCTGTCCCTGCTCCATCACCTCCTGTCCCTGCTCCATCACCACCCCCTATCCCTGCTCCATCACCACCCCTTGTCCCTGCTCCATCACCTCCTGTCCCTGCTCCATCACCACCTCCTGTCCCTGCTCCATCACCTCCTGTCCCTGCTCCATCACCTCCTGTCCCTGCTTTGCCCTGCTGCAGCAGCACAGGTTGCCCATGAGCTCAGCACTGCTGGCTGGAGCCACAGCTGCCAGAGGTGCTGGGGCAGCCAGAGGGGCTGGGGAGTTGAGCCAAGGGCTTCCAGCTGCAGGCGGACAGGACAGCAGAGCCAAAAAAACCCATGTTGGTGAGCTCAGGTAGGGAGTTGCAAAGGTCCCTGACCCTGTGCTTCCCTCTCCTGCCTTCCCAGCTCCACGGGCTGCTCCCTGCTGCTGTGCTCATCCCTTTTTCTTCACTGGCACTTGTGGAGGGACTTCCTGGGGTTTGTTTTTCTTTCCCAAGCCACGATTAGAAAGTGCAGGCAGCTCTCAGCAGGTGGCCTGGGTTGCATCAGGGCCCACACAGGCTCAGGTTGTTCTTACCTTGCCACAAACCTCAGCTGAAATGCAGCTAAAGCCCTGGGGAGTCCCACCAGGGAGCTGGTTCCAAGCTCCAGGGCTTGGCAGGGCACCAGGGAGGTGCTGAGACAAGGGCCAGCACTTGGGGGGTCCTAATCCCTCCACCACCACCCTAGTTGGTGGTGAAGGAAGTGACTGGGAAGGGGAAACCATGCAAATTGGAAAAGAGAGTAAACCTTGAGGGTTCCTCAGCCCTGCTCCCTGTAGATCTGGCTTTCCATCCCTTCACCAGACTCCTTTTCTTAAATCACCAGTCTGGAGTTATTTAACTGGGGAGGGGAGTCAGTTTAATTAGGAAAACAGGCAGAAGCCCAAGTTTCAGCCCCAGGCAGGGGGTGGGATGAGGCTGAGGCAGGAGCAGGGCAGTGTTCAGAGCAGAGTGGAGCTCCAGAGAGGTTGGGGGTTGGGGTTTCATGCTGAGGATGA